TCAGTGAACCATCCATCTAAAAGATTATAAATTATAATAACATAATTAATATAATATAATAATAACAAATATTATATGATGTTATGATATTATAATATAATGTGTAATATGTAAAATGTGATTTAACATAATAATGATATGTTCTCTACCTTTGATTTGAGGGTGTGTCAACATAATTTTATTTCAAAAATTTTTTGAAAGATTTTTTTTTTTAATCTCTTATCTACTATTTATAATAATTTCTGTGAAACGTTATGATAATCTTTGAGTTTTTTGAATTCCTCATTAACAGTCTCTAGATAATCTGACCATGTAATCTTAACACAAAATCAAATATCGAGTATCAATAAACGCAATACAAATTCGGTGATAAGAACATTGAAAGCATATCTTGCAAATTGGATTTCAACACTACTGAAATCTGAAAAAACAACATCCAAATCAAGGGTCATTGTTACTCATTTTCTTCTATCAATTTGATTTCCTTGCCATCCTCGTTAACAAAAACATGCATATCATTCATTACTCTTCAAACCAGGTACACAAGCTACCCGAAAATTCTGATGTTAGATCGACGACGAAAGACAATCCTGACCTACAATCAAAAAATAAATGACTTTACTTTATTGCGAGTATCTCTTATGATGCATTTTGGTCGCGATTTCATGTATCAGGCCAATTTAATGATTGGCCAAGCGAAAAACAGTCTTTTAAATAAGATTTATAAAAACCGAAAGGAGATGTCCGAATTTTTATCTATAAATCATACATCTCATTTTCATATTAGGAAGTGATATTCTCGGGGAGGGTTTATATATGTAATTTAGCCTTCAAAAAACATGGCAATGTAAAAATGACGATGTGTCTAATAAACACTGGCTGTATGAGACGTCTTTAATGAATATTCTGTTTGACAAACATCATTTATCTTTATACGGTCGGTGAACCTATTATATAGTGAATTGTATAATATAAGGAAGTCGAAGATTTTCCCATTTGATTATATATATAAATTCTGCTCGCTATGATGATTTTTAATATAGTGAAGTTTTACTAAACAATGAACCAATCACTGAAGCTTGATGAAGAGTCTTTGCTGTTCTTTAAATAATACAATTTTTATCAAGATTTATTAATGCATACTATCACTATGACAATAACAGATAGTAATGTTATACTCTATTCGGTTCTTCGCAAAAAGGAAAAGTATGATGATGATATGCTTGAAACAGAAGTTCTAGTTAATGTAAATTAAAGCAGAAGAAACAAAATCAAAGAACTTTCCTTCGGCTTCTCCAAGCTGTTCTAAAGACACCTCTTGGGCCCCAAAACATCGTTCGAATTATTGCTATCACCGTCTACCAACGTGTTGCTATTTACATAACAGCAATATTATTAATGATGTTGTTAGAGCTCGCAATATATATTTGCAGTGGTATCTATGTTTATATTAGAAGGAATTGTGGTGTTTATTGTATATTTGCATTATCCGTTAAAGATGAATGTATAAATATTATCAAGAGTGAATCGCTTTTGATCCAGTTCCTGGGTTATTGTTTAAAATTATCCTACTGCTAATTGCTTTAGTATACGCTTCAGTGTATGTGTATTACCACTAGACATGATTCCTTCATCATCATTATTTTTTTTATTCTAAAAAAAAACAAAACATTGGATCATCCGTGTTTCTAGAAGAAATACCACGCAAAGGAATCCAACACACCCAATATAAAAAGGTCATTCTATTAATATGTAAAGAAAGTAATTGATGTGCGGATTCACCCAAAAAATTTGAGGAAATAACAGGAGCTCTCGTCAATATGGGAATGAATTCCAGTGTTTAAAAAAATTTTTAATAATAATATATTATAATTCTGATAGATTGATAATAAAGTGTCAGAATTATTAAAATTGTCCGTCTGATTACCACGGCTATCCTCATGGCTAGCAAGTCTGAAGATTTTAACGACTCGAAATGTATATATGACAGCCAGAATCCACTGTAGCCATCATATATATAACCACTCCTGCGGCGAGACTTCAATCGAGCCTTTCGTAATCTCCTAAAAAAATTGTTTGTTCCATTGGTACTCTTTCTTCATTTTAAAAAAAAATAAACGAATAATAATAATATGAATTAATATACATATATAATATAATAAAATAATACACACACACACACACATATTTCTTTTTGGGATGGAATGTAAACAATGTTAACAATACGATGATTTGGTAAATATACTGTCCTTCAATTTTGATTGTTTAAAGGTGGACGAAAATGTTCTTGCTAAATACAGGAGATCGAATTGCTTTAATCAAAAGGATTTAAGAGAAATAAAAAGAAAAATTTGAACTAATCAGCAACGTGTCACTTGATCCATTTTTAACTTTTTTTTGTATTACATATATATATAGTTCATTTGCGCATGTTCAATTAAAATATAAAAGAATCTCAGGAGGGGGTCCTACTCATCATCACATAAATCTGTCCTGCGGCAAACATACCTTGTAGTAACGTGAGGCCCTGTGTCTTCGAACGACATATTTTTCCAAGTTTTAATTTTGTTTCTATTTTTATCACTTTTAATTCTTCAGAGAATGCTAAAATTCCTTTATTGTTGAATCACGATAAATCGATCATTAGAGTTTGGTGATGATGAAGTTGTTCTTTAAATAATGTAATTTTTTTCTTTTCAATTTACGTCCTTATCAATTAATCTGTTAGAGGAAAACTCAAAATGCAATCAAAAAAATGTTGTACGAAAAATTGTTGTTACATGTCAATTCAGTTCTCCGCAAAAGGAAAACAAATTTTTAAACGAAAACGAAACAGCGAGCTTAGTGAAACACAATGTATAGGTAGACCTGCTACCCCAGCTCGTGGACCAAAAAATTGCAAAAAACGGTGCGTCGATTTTGCTTTTTACGTTGCATTCGAATTTAAGGGTTATTCGCTTTATCATTTTATTCATTGTATTCGAATTATTCGTTCTGTTCGTTTTATTAGGTCTATTCGAATTATTCGTTTATTTGAATTATTTGAATTATTCGAATTATTCGCATTTTATTCGTTTTATAAAATACTAATTCACATGCAACAAATTCTATATTAATTTGTAAAATTATAAATAAGCCTTATTTCCTTAACAAGATGATATAAATTACAATAATTATATATTACTAATACTATAGCTACTAGTACTATGACTTAAGAAAATGTCAATTATTCCTATTTATTTATCATCACTGTATAAAGGGACTACGAATATCAATATTAATGCTAAGCAAAAAAAGCAAATATCATGATCACATTACATTGGTGATGACTAAATTCGAACCCTGAAATACTTGGTAATACCAATGTTCACTTTGTCAGGTTTTGTTGCAGTATGCCCCCCACTTTAATATATATATATATATATATACAACAACAAAAATTTAACATAAAATTCAAATCAAATTCATAATCAATACATATAAAAAATTAATCAAAATTATTCTGAAAGTATTAATAATAATGATTCTAATATTAATAACCAAGACTTTGTTCCTAATGATAACCACGCCAATTACATCAATCAAACCACTACAATAATTACATTCATCAAGACACTGGGGACAATAACCTCGGTCACCAAAACAGCCAGAACTCTGAAAATGATTACTTTAATCAAAACTTTGGCAACAGTAATTTTGTTCATCAAAATAATATCCCCAACCAAAACTCAGGTATTATCAGTAATTATAGTTTCGTTGACCAGAATCTAACTATTATATACTACAAGCATTAATCATCCGAACAATTTTTTTGACAATAGTTTTGTTGACATCATCAAAACTTGAAGAATTTCATTGATCAAAACAACAATGATCAACTACTTATTTACATAGTGTCTCAGCTTCAAAGTCTCCAAGACCTTGTAAATCAATTTTTGGATAACAATAACAACAATAACAGATAATTCGTAAATCAATATTAAATAGCCTAATAACATCAATCAATTTATTATTTCATTATTTTTTTATAATTTTTATTCTTTATTTTCTAAATATACTTTTTTTATATTTTATATATTATTTGTAAATCCGGTTGTACTAATCATAAACAGTATTAGTATATATCTGGAGCAAAAAAAAATTTAATCTCAGAGTTCACTCATGTACTACTTGTTATTTTTTAGAAAAAAGGTGATTTAATTAGGGCCCAATAAACGATGTGTTTATTTTCTATTGAAAAATACAATTTAGAACGAATTACTAAAATCTTATCAAGCCTTATTATTGTTACTATAGATGAACAAAATTAATAGTATTTAGTTTTTTACTTGGTGATTTAAACTCTAATGTAATAGATCAGTTATTGCACGCATAGCATTCAACAATCACATAAATGAATTGGCTAAAAAATCAGGATTGTATATTATTGCAATGACACTAATTTACATGAATTTCATTAATAAATAGGGTGTAACGCCATGCTTGGTTTTGACAAGAACCTTTAATGAAAAATTCCTCCTACCACCCCTCTTCTTTTAATGGTGTTATAATTTACAAATATAAATTCAGTACATGCGAAAGATTTTTTAATCGATTGGAACATTTACTCTGTCATAACAGAATATATATATACTGGAGAAAGACCTCATGAATGCAATTGGGGAGAATGTAACACAAGATTTTACAGGTCAGATGAACTTTCGAGACATCGTAGGACTCACAATAAAAATAAGAAAAAAATTATAGAAATAGAAAATTAGTGCTTCGTCATTTAAAAATAGTACTCTACAAGTCAAAGACCTTTATCGTAATAATAATAATAATGTGAACATTAATTGGAATGGGAACAATCTTCCTTCTACCAATAATGATACTCCTAATTCTTTGCACATGTTCATCTTTGCAGAATTAACTATTTACACACCATCATCATCACCCTATAAACCTGATCTCATCTGGCCAAAAAACCAATTCTGGTTGCACAAGATCATTTACAAGACATGTTAATTTCTCAAAACATGTACAAAAATGTCAATTGAAAAGAAACATAAAAGATGAAAATAATAATGGAAATGGAAATTATGTTAATAATTTTTATCTTTATAGCATCAACGAAGGTATTATTATTATTAATAATGGTAATGATATGATCAGAGTACCAATTACTCCTATATCTACATGTAGCAGCAAGCAATGATAATAATAGCGTTAGTAGTAGTGGTAGTGATAATAATAGTGTTAGTAGTAGCAGCAATTATTCCTCAGATAATGATGAATTTACATCTACAAAATTTACATCAAGAACTAGAAATAATACAACTCCATCACCTTGTACCACAAATGGACCAGGTGTTCATATCCCCCCCTGCTTATACCCAATTAATACACACCATCACTGCCATCATGACAACAACAATGCAATAGAAGTAACGCCTACAATATTCAGAGCACCAACATCATTGAATAGTAGTGGTAATTATGCAAATTATCCTCTCGTTTTACCACCGTTATCAGTGGTTCGATGTAATATCACCTATACACATTTAGAAGATATTGTAAGATTTCCTCCTCTTTGGAATTAATTATTTCATTATATTGATAACAAATCACGCAATATTACAGATGATTTAATATATTTTTTCTTCTTTGTTTTTGTCTTTTTTTCTTCTTTTTCATTAGACTCCTCCCTTCTCGTTTTACTACTCAAAAAAATTATACCCTTTTATTGTTTTAACTAATAGTACTATTATAAATTATAGTTTTATCAAAAAAAAAAAATATAACTAATAAGATGATTACGCAATAAGAAGTCGTAATTTTCGGTGGGACCTACATTAGATTGTTGGTTCATGATATTGGAGGAGCACTTGGTACCTATTTTTAGATGTATGGTATTCGAGTGTATAACATTCGTCGTGCAATGCAACTAGTAGAAGTTTAAAAATATTTTACAAATTTATAACACTCCGGCGTTCCCAGCATTGAATTTTTCTACTGTCACGAAGGTGAAAAACATCTAGCAAAAGAAATGGAACCTGAATCTGAATCCTTTAAACTTATTATTATTAATTCGTCAGTTAATTTTGTATTCCTAAACAAAAAAATTATAAATTCGAAATATTATAATTGTATTAGTATTAGTATTGAATGATGTCATTTCACATTCATTTGATTATTTATTTTGACTTCTGACATCAGGAGAATTATGTATTATATTAATTATTCATGTTTGGTCAAATTTATTTTCAAACTAATAATAAAAATAAACAAAATAAATTATTTATCTACCCATCAATGATTCACTCAATTATCCAACTTTAACCTTATCAATTAAACTATATATATATATTATCATTATAATTAATTAATAAACACTTGTATATTAAATTAATAAATTTCAATTAATCAACTATTTGATTTGCCCTATTAAATTATATTTCATAGTTTAATAAGCTATCATTACTTAAATTCAATTTAGCAATTTCGTCATTTAATATTCTACTTGTATGATATGCTAATGGATGTGATTTGTGTGCTTGTTGTGAATTACCATTATTACTACTACTACTACTATTACTATTATTATTATTATTACTACCACTACCACCAATATTACTACTACTTTCATTAGAACTCACAGTTTCAAATTCATTACAAGAAAAATCCTGAAGCTCTTTACTAGTTGGTCTCTTGGTTGGATCTATATCCCAACATCTTTGCATCATTTGTACATAATCACCTGGCATTCCTGGTAATATTGGTGGTCGTAAACCTTTGCATATTTTTAATTGCAAATGAAGATCATGTGCCTCATCATC